GTAAAGTTAGTTATTTTCCATGCTCTGTTTTGAAGCTATATAGATTTGACTCTTTGGGACAGGATTTATCTTCATGCTGTGTCTTGCAGAGCACCAGGCAGGAGCTGTGAGCTGTGTGACAGCTGTAGGTGAAAAGTTCATCATCTGATCCCCTGCAAGTGCTGGTTACTTCTGTGTGTGTTTTGCTCCCATGGTGATCCCAGCTTTAGAGTCCTCCACACCCCTAAGATCAAACCAAACTTCCTTCTTTAGTTTTAAGGTGTGTTATGAAGCACATATATTAGATGTAGGTTTTTATAGAAAGACATTATGGACACTGGCTAATTTGAGAAAAGTATTTTGCAGTTTTAGGAGTGAATTGGGGATATGCTGACAGACTTTGGTGCTCCTGGCACATCCTATATATCGGGTAGGCAGGTGATTTAGACGTGGATCAGGTACTCCTGTGGTCCAGGTTTTTTGGCAAAGGGAGGTGGCAAAATCCAGTTGTCAATTGGTAGGGCATGAGTTAGAGGAAATTTTGTTGCTGAGGGAAAGAGAGTCTGGAAAGGCCCATACCAGATTTCCCTGCCCATCTTTTCTCTCCAGCATTCAGCATGGCTCAGGTGGGGTGTGCAGCAGGTGGCTGTGTGGCCCCTCTGGGAACTGCTGGGGGCCCCCCATGTGGAGAGGTGATCGAGACTTCAGGGTGGGTAACACTAATAATATAATAATATCAACTGAAGAATATGACAATGTTTTATTGTTACTTACACCTGATTACTGTTCATCTGCAGTCCCAAAGAGGTTTGGAATTGCTGTTTCACTTTTCTCTGATTGGTATTTTGTGACTAAATACAGACGAGAATCACATCCATATACAATCTACAAATCTGTTAATGATTATCCTCTGTGAGTCTCCTCTAAAGGTTTTCTTTTGCCATCAGACAGATGTACACATATATTAGATATATGCACATATGCATCTACCTAATTCTGTTGGTAGTGTCTTGTTTCTGAAGGTCACCACATTTAAATATACATTTGATGATATGGCAATGAGGTTTGCTTAAGGGTGGTAATGAACAAACTCCATGCTAAAGATCCTGATCCTTTGCTTTCCAAGTGGTGTTGCAATAATTGAAAGCATGCATTACTAGGCCCTTAGAAGTTGATTACAAAAACTGTAATTTTGCTAGATTTGCTGGATTCTTCTGTGCTAATGTCAAGGAGGTCTGCACTGCCAGTTCATAAATGGAGAAAACACTGACCTATAAACACTCTAATTTTCAGCAACAGTTCAGTTGCTTCAGTTGCAAGCAGTCTCATTTGGTGAGATTTTGAATTTAACATGCAGATTATCAGGCCTAACCTCCACTTTTCATCAGACAGACCCTCATTTTATATAGTAGGGATTAGCACAGTTAAATTGTATTTTGAAATGGTTTCTTCAGCCCCTATCTGATTAGGGCTGGTTTGCTGATTTAGAGGATTTTACTTTGTCTCCATTCCTTATTCTCATTCATTTGAGTGCTTTTGCTTTGCTTCTTGTGGCTGGGTTGTATTGCACAAATCTGTTGATATGGAGGACTGGGCAAGCTCATAACAAACCAGTATTCCTTCAGCTCCCTGTCTCCAAGGTAAGGCTACTCATCTTTTGTTGAAAACACCAGCCAGGGATTTCTTTGTGTCCCATACTTGTTTTTTTAACTTGTTGGTGCCAGATGCTCCAGTGCATGCAGTGCCAGGAAAAGACTTGCCCTCCATGGATTAGTGGTGTCACTTCTGCACAAAGGCATTTCAATACTGTTTGTCCCTGATCTAGTAATGAGGCTGACATAGTAGCTGAGACTCCAAACATCATGCTTTCAGTCTCTGAACTGGATTTTCACTTATTCTGTGTTTTCAGCATTTTTCACATTGTGACAGTTTTTCAGATTTCATTATTAAAGAACTTTTAACTATCTTTTCTGATTTGAGTCCTGTGCCTTAGTCACATCTTTGCTTACCTGCTGTCCTTCTGACTGAAAAGAAACAAGTTTTCATCCAAACCCTACAGTGTTGTTTTCTAGTCTTTGTGAATATTTACTCATACACTTCACAGGTTTTATAAAAATAAAAATTTGGGGGAGGGTGCATTTTTCTAAAAGTTCTACTCTTTGAAGTAAAACGATTCTCTTTACATGTGTGTTTTTTTCCTATGAACGCTGATAGCATTTTATTTTAAAAATAGAAAACATAGCCCTTGTGGCTCCCCAGTGGCACAGTCTGAACGTTGGCTAAAGTACTCTTCAAAAAGCCCACTGGGAATTTACTACTGCTGATTTACAGCTGGGGAAGATGGGCAGATAGTTTAGTTGGTAGCAGCACTTTCACTCTGGTTGAGAACACAGATTGGATTTGAGAAATGGGCGATTCTGAGCCTTGTGCTCCTTTTCACTAGTGTACAACCTGCCACAGTGGAAATAGGCAGCTTAAACCTCTTCACTGATTATACTTAGTTTAAGGCTTTTTGGTTTGTATTATATATCTGTTCTGTTCAGAGATACGAGTGAGAAATCACAAAACCTGTAGCTTACATTTAAGAATTTGGTTGGGCTGTGTTTCTGCAACTAGGGATGATGCAGTGCAAAATACATGGATTCTTCAACAGGATACCCTGAGGGTTATGGCACTGGGTTAATACCTGATTTCTGTTCTCAGAACAGAAATAGCAGCCCACCATAGGCTGTAGGGAAATCACTTCCATTCTCAGAATCTGATTTTTTCTGTCAGTAAAATGGGAAGAATGATAGTTAGCCTATTCTCTGTATTTTGAAACCTACTAAGGACTTGAATTGATTACAGACACATGAATGCTATGGCTCTGTCAGGGAGGTTGTTAGTACTGAGTTAAAATGGAAATTTGGTGAAAAAAAGTGTAACATTAGCAAATGTTGAGAAAGATAATTTGCACTTTAAAAAGCTAGTTGTGTTTGCATAAATATGTGCACATGTGCACACACATGAACTCCATGTAACATGATTATGTAAGTAAATGAGCTGTTTTCATGTGGCTTTAAAACTTCAACACTTTAGGTTTCTATAGACCCACGGTGTTCACTTGCACTCTGTTTGAAAGTGAAGATATAGACTTGGGTCCCTGCCTGATTCAGACCTTGGAATTTGGATAACTTTATAAACTTATTTGTGCTGTTTAATCTCACTTGAACAGGTGCTCATGTTGAGTTTTGTTTTCTGTAGAAGTAGAGAGAGATTGGGTTGGGCAGATGAGCATCCAGCCAAGGTGATCCAGACCTGATGTGCCTTATGCCCTTGACCGTATGTGCAAACCACCAGAAGATTTTTATATATTAGCTTGGAACACAGACTTGCACAGAATATTTTTATTTCTGTATTAATTGCATACCTTTTATACAGTGCCAGCATGCACACACCAATTAGGCTTGGACCATGTCATGGTAGACATTGTAAAATAGGTAAATGGCAGCATCTGCCTTTAAGAATTTTTTATTCTAAAAAACATAAACCCCAAGATCCTGAAAACATGCTACATTTATGTAAATGCCTCTGATACCAAGCAGAAATTTATAAATGTCTTGTGCTCTTCTGATTATTGTATAATTTTCTATACAAATATATACTTCCACTCAGTCAGAAATCTGCTATTCAATTTTACATACAGTTTAGAGCAAAACAAAATATCAGATTAGTATATACCAGTTCCAGCAAAAGCTTGAGAGAGAAAGCAGGAAAGGAAAAGATCTTTATTCATACACAACAGTAAGAAGTTCAAAAGGCAAATGTCTTCAAAGAGAGGAGTTGATTAAAGACTTGACCATTGGGATAGTCTTCATTCCTTATTGTAAGTTTGTAACTTCTAAGGTATTAAACATTCCTGTCAGCCATGTTATTAAAAAAATTCTGAACTGATTTAACTCTCTCTTTTTTTAATACAATGCTGCTGCTTCTTGAGTTTGCTCGTGATCATAATTACATTTTTTGTGAAGGTATTTGTGATGACAGTCACCAAGGAATTGTGGTTGCTGGAATTCATTATGAAGCAGGAAGGCAAGGATACTATAGCTGACAGCTTTGTCTCAAACCAGACAAATCACAGATTTCTCTCTTAGGAATAGGTAAAGACAGAGTACCTGGAGAAACAAAAATGGAGAGAAATTCAGTTAACTCTGTAACTTTAAGAGATCCATAACTAGGAAAATATTGTCCACAACTTAATTGTTTCCAAGTCAATTCACTTGGACTGCTGATTGCATGCGTTTGCAGCTCTTCATGTGCAGCAACTCCTAGATATGTTCTCAGAATTTTGTTAAAAAACCCTGAATTGTAATGATCTTAAGGCAGAGAGGTCCTCTTTATTTGAGAGAAGATAATTGAATGTTGTTTACTCCAAGTTAATATTTGGTGTTGGCCTAGAAGCAAATTATAGTGGATAAAGGTCAACATTACACAGCTGAATCTCATGTATATACATAGTTGAGGCTACATATGTTTTTTTTCTCACCAAGGCAGTTTGTCACAGTGTGATCATTGTGGTTTACTCAAGAAAAGGAGAAAAACCACTTAGCAAAGTAACTTGAGCTGTTGGGTTTTCATATATTATATATAAATCTTGCATTTTTACACACAAGCATCACAAAAGTTCATTGGTATATTCTGTAGTATGTATGCTATAGGAAGTGTTAGAGAAATGCAAGTTTAAAATAATTTAAAGGGACAAATGGATGTGGCAGAGACAAGCCCAAGCACCATATGTGTTCATTTTAGGATTTTTTTGTAGAGGTTTACTGTGCTACTACTTGCCTAAATGTGTACATGACAGCTGCAAGAGGAAAAAAGCTGATTTGAAGTAAAGGGGGAGGTTATATAATTTTTGACTGTTTAAAAACAATCTAAAACTTAGACTGCGTATTATTTTAACTCATTTGCAAATGTGTATATTTTGCTGACACATTATAATATAAAACTAACACTAAAAGACTTCTGTGCTTTGTGTGCAGGTATATGTCTCGAGTCCATGGTATGCATCCAAAAGAAACCACACGTCAGCTGAGCTTAGCAGTCAAGGATGGTCTCATTGTGGAAACCCTGACTGTGGGGTGTAAAGGGTCAAAAGCTGGTATTGAACAAGAAGGATATTGGTTGCCAGGAGATGAGATTGTGAGTATAAAGTCCTTGAGAAAATAAATCACGATTTCTTAGCATGAAACTTGTTTTAATTTATATTTAAAGCTATTTATAGATTCTGTGTTGGTGCTTGTGAACAGGGAAGTAATGTACTCTTAAATTTTTTAACCTTTTCTATTCCATAGAAGCTCTTTCCTCTTGAATTCTGAGTTTTCTGCTATGAAAAACTGGCAAACTCCTTTGCTCGGTTATGCCTCACTTTTATATAGTATTCTCTTCTACACTTGTACAGGAAGACAGTAAATATTACTGGTATTACTTGAAATCCTCAGACATTCTCAAATCCTAAAGACGGTGAATTTAAAAGAGAAAAAAAAAAGAAGTCACAAACTTTTAAATCTTGCTTTAATCTGAATCTGAAGAACAAAGAACACCCTTTCAGAAGTGCAACATGAAGTTATAAAGTGATATGCAAATACACATGAAAAGATGTGTTTTACTGATATTCATGAACACCAGGACATTCAGTTGGAAAGGACTTTCTTAGCAAATCAGCTACAGGCATCCAAAAAGGCTGTTCCACTGGATGTGTAACATAAATATTAAAATCCATTTAAATAGGTTGAAAGTTATATAAAAGGGAAAAAACCCATGTTTTTTATATCCCTCCATAGGTAAGGTGGAACACACTCACAAAGTGAGGAAAGTCACATAGACCAGGAAAAAGCTTGCACAATTGCTTTGCCTTGTTCAGAAGCCTCATCTCTCTATTTACAAGACAATATTTTCCTAACTAAAAGGAGTTTTCCAAAGCTTTAAAATACCTGAAGTAGGAACTATTGCTTTGGAATATAAATTGCATTAAATACTGATAAAAGTGTCAGCATTGTCTCGTCTCATAGTGACATAGGTTATACATTAAATTTTGAGGAGACCCAGAAAAACTCTAAAAACACCAAAATGCTCTTTGCAATATTGCAGTTATCAATAAGATCCTGAAAGTGAAACAATGTATTGTTTTTGGTTTTGTGGAAACAAGCAATATCCATAACAGAAAACATTATCATCAAAATTATCTCCCACAAATTTAAATACCTTAATTTCAATACATTGTATTTAATGTACATTATGTCACTGTTAAGATTTTCATTCTAATTTCATTAGAAACCCTCAAGAGAACCTTTAAAGGGTATGTTACTATTCTCCCTGGGAGGAAACATTTCAAAACTCTAGCTTAGCTCTTTTAGATATTTCTTATATCAGTTTTATCTGTTTTGAATTGATATTAACTGTGTAGGCTCAACAAGATGTAAAGCTGAGATCTGTGATTATGTCAAGTATTCTGTATGTTTGTTTTCCTCTATTTCTAAGAGAAAGGAAAAAAATAAAAAAAAAAAATCAAAATGCCCCACAATAGCCATTTCTAATATAGTCATTCAAATAATATTTCTGCCACTTATTAACAACATTTGTTTAACAAAACTTGAAAGCTAACCATCCTGTAAATTCCCAGTGAGTCATTAGAATTCCACAATTATTTTATGTTTGAGCAAAAACGTTGTCTTTGACTTGACCAAAGATGCTGTTCAAGTCACATTATGAATAACCCTTTAGTTAGAAGCACTGACTGCATTTTCAGCATGACTGCTAAGCACTGGTACTTTGGGCTGTGACCGTGTGTGTGGTGGCCACCTCAGTAGTTCAGAACACCACACTTAACAGTTTTATGCAAAAATAAGGATCAGTTTCTGATCCAGGCCATGTTTCAATAGTACCTAAACTTTTTGATCCTGATACTGAATCAAAATGCTGCAGACAGATGAAGCAAAACACATTGACTTGGTATAAAGTTATTCTCTTTGTTCTTTTATTCAGAAAGTTTTAATGAGTAACAAAGTGTCATTGTCATCACTCGACATCAGATCAAGTATTTTCCATTCTCCAACAGTGGGTGCAAACCCATGAAGTTTGGTATGTTCTCTCCTTTGGACACACGGCATAGTTTTACAGATGTTTTGTCTGCACTTGATCAAGAGACAGTTTGTAGTTCTTTGTAATTCAGCACTGCTCAAATCTGATACTAATGACTGTTGAACCATGAGCTCAAGTTACATTTCAGTGAGGACAAATAGACAGAATTCTTTTTGGAGGTGTGCTTGGAGATGGAACTGTTCAAAGCAGGGTTATTAATGTTCAAATAGGGATTTCAGGCTCAAACTTTAGCACTTACAGACCCTTGACCTAATTGTCAAATTTGTTTTGACTGGTCCTACTGGAACTTGAAAAGCTCAAAATGGGAATGAGAAGACTTAAGAACTAATTCTTCACCCACTGACACCAATACAGGAATGCTTTTGGATTTTAGCTTCTTTCCTGTCACCACAGCGGGTCAGCAAACACAGGCTGCTCCAAGGAGATAGCAAAGAGACACATTCTTATCATCCCTCCCCCCACTTTTTATTTGAGTATTTGCTTGGTGGTTTTTTACACTTTTGAAGTTTTGGAACTGACTTTTAGCAAGTAGAAAGATTACTGGTCTTGGCCACAAAACTGCTGAGCACCTTTGTCTGTTACGGTAAGAGGTGCCAGACTAGAGGGTGCCACATGACCTGAAAGTCCTGGTTGGGATGGTGACTGCAGACTGTTGGCTAAATAGTGACAATAATTGAAAGTATAGAGATTATGAAAGCACAGCTCTATTTGGAAAAGATTCATTTGATAATCTGTGGTGCTTGCTTAGGGGTTTCCAAACATCTGCCCTATCCAATAGGTTGACAGAGTGATAGATCTATGCAGTAAGGACATGATCTCTGATAGGGCTACTCTTAGCCTTCCAAAACATTATATTACTTTGCTCTCATTGTTCTAGCAGTATGTTGAAGCTGCAGTAAAAAAATTTTAGCAAAACCTAAAAACCTAAACCTGTATATTTAGTAATATACAAAAGACAAGCTGAGGTGCAAAGACAAAATAGTTTGAGGGCATCAGGAGGCTCTTCCAAAAGGGGTGGCTCATGAAAATTAATGTTCAGAAAAACTGGAACAAAAAAAGAATCATCAGATTTAAGAGTATAAAATTCTTCTGTCAGATACATGTGGGATAAATATTTTTATATAAGTTACTAAATTTAAAATACGGAGTTGGTAGCAAAATGTACTGTATTCCAACTGATATTTAAGGATTGCTACCTAAACAAGAACTTTGCTGCAAATATTATACCTCCAGGGCTTGTGCAGGTATTCATTTTGTTTGCTCATTTGCCTTGTCTTCTCCAGATGTTTTGCACATTTTCAAAATGTGTTCTCATCTTACAGGCTTTCTTATCTTGCAGATGATTAATGCATTTGCACAAAATAAATGAGAGAAGAATTTATTTTCCATTTTTATTCAGGATTGTAGTTAGGAATTGTGCATTTTTCTGTTTGTTGATGCATTATTATACAATTGAACAAAATCTCTTCAGTTTCTTGCCTTGCAAGGGAAATGTCAGTCCTGAGGTCTGGTAATGGAAGTTTATTTATTTCTTTTTTTCTAAATGCTTTATTTCTATTTCTCACAGAACTTCTGGAATTTGGGCATGTTATTATTATCAGGATTAAAAAAATCTCCTTGCTCTTTGGGTTTAGAGAAAAATTTGCACATCAGTGTTGTTAACTATGTTTTGAATGTAGTTGATAAAATAGAAAGGAAACGTAGTTCTTCAAGAAAAAACAAATTAATCTTCTTTCCTATTAATTACTATGTTCTGCTATGATTTTTATGTACTTTTATCTGTGTAACATAGTACTGTGTCTAACGCCAAGGAAAGAAATTGAATTTAAGTACCAATGTCCTATGGCTTTATGGGGGGGTTAGATGCAGTTTTTAGAGTTAGTTTGTCTTACTCATTTACATTTACAGTGTGCACTATTTTGAGCTATTTTGAGCATTTAATGTGCTAATTCTTCCCTTCATGATTAAAGTCATAAAACTGCTCTGACCCAGAGAGAGGCTTTATGAATGTATAATATCAATTTTCCTGTGTTCATAAAGCCAGACAATATTGGGCTCTTCTAAAATGGAGATGTGTTCATAACACAGGCTCATTGTTTGCATCTGATTGCAACATATCCCACAGCACTTCTGTGGTTTAAAAATGGTTCATAGTGGCCAAATTCTCTAATGAGATGTGAAGCTTCACACTTACTTAAGGCACTGTGAGCTGTTTCTTCACTGAAGAATGCATAAAAGGTGATTATATTTTCAAGAAATTATTATTTTACAGAGTTGTGTTTTCTGATCATTTAAATGATTCCCTATAGAAAGAGCCAGCAATTCTTCTGGCTAGTTAAGTCTGACTTTGGGGGTCAGTTACAGTCATTCTCCTGTACAAATGCATTCTCCTGTATTTGGTCCTCTCTGTATGTAAATTATTTCCTTTCCAATTCTTCCCACTAAAGATGTTTTAGTTTAGTGGAGAGCATACTGTTTGGAGGAGAAGTTTCCTTGCTTTTTCCTGCTTTCAGAAAACATTAGAGCTAAAATGTGCTTCCCCCCAACACACACACATATTCTCAATGTGCTAATTAATTTCTGGGGATTTTTGTGGTATTTTAAATTGAGAAAGTACTGCTGCTTGCTCAAAGTGACTCCAGATACTTTCAAGTCACAAGGCTGCCTAAATAATCCCTCTCCACTCTGTCTGTATTCCCATCATTTTAACATTTGTTGTAACCCACTGTCAGCACCATGAGTCTTGAAGGTGATTTTGCTAACCCAAGTGACCTGAGGTGCACACTCAGTTATTTTTGTGATTTGATGTGTTGCAGGTTCAGTTTTACTAGGATCACTCTATGAGAAAGGAGTATTTTTGGCTGTTATGTTTGTGTTAATCTAAATTACTTTAGATTGAGCAAAGGCTGGATTCCTTGCTTGCCATGCTTAATTGCTTTTGTAATTATATTGATTTTTCCATGCTAGGTCAGTATTGGTAGCCAGAAGCTGTTTTTTGAACTGTCTATGTCATCTTGAGTCTCCATAAATGTGAAGATAAT